TTTTTTTTGAGATGGAGTTTTACTCTTGTTGCCCAAGCTAGAATGCCATGGCCCAACCTCCACCTCCCAGGTTCAAGTGATTCTCCTGCCTCAGCCTCCCGAGTCCTGGGATTACAGGCATGCACCACCACCCCAGGGTAATTTTGCACTTTTAGCAGAGATGGGTTTCTCAAAGTTAGGTTGGTCTCGAACTCTGGACCTCAGGTGATCTCTGTGCCTTGGCCTCCCAAAGTGCAGGTATTACAGGTGTGAGCCACCGCACCGCCTGGCTGCTGTGTTATTTCTTAGAGTGTTGACATCAATACTGCTCATCCATTTACCACCACTAAAGATGACAGCTGCACAGAGAAGCAGGCAGTACACTTGTCCAGTCATGGGACTCAGCCTGGCTTGGCCACTATCTGCTGTGTGACACTCAACTCCTGCAAGCCCTATTTCTTCACCCTTAAAATGAGGAGTGACATTTGACCTTTACATATATTATACCCGTTACATGCGTTATACGAATCTATAACTTCATGACTTGATTCATGGCTCTGCTCACTTTTTCTTGGCCATGCTGATGTTTTGGCCTCTGGTCCTCCTGGTTTAAAAGATTTTAGTCATTTTCTAAGTCAGTGGGGATGGTGGTGGTGGGGCCCTCCCTGACCTAGGTAGCTGGATTTCTACTCCAAGTTTTTTCACAGAGAAAAACAATTTTATAGGGGACGGTTTCATTGAAAATAAAACAATGATCCTTGGTAGTTGGTGCAATTCTTCCATTATCCTTATTGAAGGATGAGTCCCCAGGTGAAGTTTACTTAGCACTTGTCATTAAAGAAACATGAGCTGGTTAGAAGCCAGTGTGAGCAAGTAAAAAGAAAGTTTCTGATTCAGTTGAATTATAATAAAACAAGCGCCTCTGTACAGTTTAAGATAAACCCAACTGAAAAGAATTGAAATGTTATTTATGTAAGCTAAAATCCTTATTAACTTGACAGCAACATTATTATTAGGCAAAGCCTGATATAACATAGATACAGGCTCAAAATGGACATAAATGATGCCCATTTTATTTGTTTATTACAAAAATTGCCAATTGTAAATAGTGGTTATATTAGGTTTTCTGTTGAAAGTGATTCTTTCTCCATACATCTGGGGTTTAAATTCATGCAGACACCAAATTCTGCCAGTGCTCAATGAGGATCTCAAAGGTAGGAGATTGATCCATTTGGTCAATGTAGGTGTCTATGAAAGACTCAGAAACATTAATCTGGCAGGGTACCAAAGGGAAAGAAATAATTGAAAAGGAGACATAAAGGAAGAAGAAAGACAGCTATTAAAAAGTTGAATTCTAGCAGAATTAGGAGGTATTTTTATAGCACTCCGTGTATTTTTAGATGGCTTCCTCCATAGACACCAACACAGAATGCATCACAGAAAAGTACAAGAGAGCAATAGTCCTTTTTATGAGATTCTGCTCATAGGAAAAGAAAAAGAAGATTTAGCCAGCAGCAGGAATTTGTTCCACCTAGCTTTAAATGGAAATCACTTTTAAAGCAGTTATGGAAAAATTTAGCCAGGTTCCCAAACAATGTAACATGTTCAGCGCAAAGTCTGATTCACGGAGCTTCTGCCTGCAAATCATTATTCTTGCACTACAAGAAAAAGGGTGTATTGTTCCCTGTTACAGGAGAGCTAGGGAAAAAGAACATGACAGTCAGTAGAGGAGCTAAAGAGGCTTGATTTATAGATTATATTGACTCACTAGCCAATGGAAAGAAAAAGTAACCCATATCTAATCTTTCAATTCTTCCTTTGAGGCATCTTTCAGGTGTGTACCTTCTTCTCCATGACTTCTGAATGTGTCTTCAAATCATGCCCTCCCTGTTGTTCACCTGTGTTGCCATCACAGTCCCTCGCCCAGCTGAGGTACCAGACAGCTGTCTGTGACACAGCCCCATTCCTACCTCATTCTATCATCTCTCCTACAGCATAGGGACTGGCAATGTAGGAACTACATTTCCCAGAATCCCTTGCCAAACCAGAGCTTTGTTTTGGATGCGACCAGTAAGAAGTTCCTGTGGGAGATTTGGATGGCATAGAAGTGGTGCCTGTCGGGGTAGTGGCCCGCTGACATGCAAAGTTTGGGACCTAGAAGGTTTTTAGTAGCCTCTAGAAGTTCACCAATAGATGCTGGAGGCTGCTGTGACCTGTGGGGAAGTTTCCTTAAGTTCCTGACCTGCGTGGAAGCAATGTCTAATCCCTCAGTAGCCAGCAGTGACTGGCCTTTCTCAACCTCAGCGACTCCTTTCCGTCACTCTCATAAGCACCTAGTGCCTCACGTCAGATCCCGTCTTCCTTTGGAGCATCTAGGGAAGGTTCTGTTTTCCTGATTGCTTACATCAGTGCTCTCCAGAGCCCAGAAATCATTGATCACAGCTCCTTATTTTACAGATGAAGTCCAGGGCCATTAAGTGACTTGCTCCAGATCACTCAGCTCCTTAATTATGGAACCAAGCTTAGAATCTCAATCTCCTAGCTTCCAGGCTGATGCTAATTTCTATTGTTTCATGTCTCTGTAGATTTGTATCTCCTCATGTTCCTGAATATTTTTATACATCTATTTCATTGTATCTATGATGCCAGCAGTTATCATTATTTCATGAAAAAAAAAAAAAACAAACCTAACAAAAATACCACCTAATAAATGGATTCAGTACATTTTAATCACTGGAAAATTTTACGCTTACTGAAAGAACTTTTTTCAATTTGATTATAGATTTTTAAATTATTTATTGTATATACATAAAAAATAAGAAAAATAAATTGGGTGGTATATTTCTGAAACTTCCTTTCACAGAGAGTCTGAATCATGTTTTTGGGTGAGTCTTTGAATCATGTTTTTCACTCAGAGTTATTAAGCCTAATTATATATAATTATGTGTAAATATTTTATATTAATATATTATGTATACATACAGATAAATATATATTATATATACCTACATATAAATTGCACAGTCAATATATAATTATAACTATATATTTATAATATAAAATATGGCACATATACACCATAGTTAATATATAATTATGCAATTTAATTATATAATCGCCAGTTAGAATGGTGATCATTAAAAAGTCAGGAAACAACAGATGCTGGGGAAGATGTGGAGAAATAGGAACACTTTTACACTGTTGGTGGAAGTGTAAATTAGTTCAACCATTGTGAAAGACAGTGTGGCAATTCCTCGAGGGTCTAGAACCAGAAATATCATTTGATCCAGCAATACCATTACCAGGTATATATCTAAAGGATTATAAATCATTCTACTATAAAGACACATGCACATGTATGTTTACTGCAGTACTGTTCACAATAGCAAAGACTTTGAATGAACCTAAATGCCCACCAATGATAGGCTGGATAAAGAAAATATTGCACATATACACCATGGAATACTGTGCAGCCATAAAAAAGGATGAGTTCTTGTTCTTTGCAGGGACATGGATGAAGCTGGAAACCATCATTCTCAGCAAACTAACACAAGAACAAAATACCGCATGTTCTCACTCATAAGTGGAAGTTTAATAATGAGAACACATGGACACAGGGAGGGAAACATCACACACTGTGGCCTGTCCGGGGGATGGGGGTTTAGGGGAGGGATTGCATAAGAAGAAATACTTAATGTACATGACAGGTTGATGGGTGCAGCAAACCACCATGGCACATGTATACCTATGTAACAAACCTGCACGTTTTGCACATGTACCCCAGAACTTAAAGTATAATACAAAAAAATAATTAAATATATAATTTAATTAAATGTTTATATATTTAAATTATAGATTTACTAAAAATATATTGAAATATAATTGAAAATAATTACATAATTATAAAATTATATATAATATATAAAACAGTTTTAAAATATAAATTCCTATGCCATCAAAAGATAAGGTAATATTTCCTTAAAAATTTGTAATTTAATTTTAATTTGATTTAATTTTGTGGGTACATTGTAGCTGTATATATTTATGGGGTACATAAGATATTTTAGTGCAGGCATGCAATGTGCAATAATCACATCATGGATAATTGGGTATCCATCCCCTGAAGCATTTATATTTTGTGTTACAAAAAATATGGAATCTTCATAAATTTATGTGTCATTCTTGCTCAAGGGCCATGCTCACCTTCCCTGTATTGTTCCAATGTTAGCACATGTGCTGCTGAAGTGAATGCAGTGTAACATTTAAATCTGTTAAGCAACTAAAATGCTGTGGTGCTAGACTCTTAAGTCACTTGGCAATGACATAGAATTAGATTTCTTTTTTCCATTTGCTTCCTGTAGGTTAAACATATGTAACACACTGTCTCACCCATCATCTTTCAAAACAAGTAGTTCCTAGGAATAACAGAAGTTATCTGTTATCGTCTCTGGTATTTTCTTGCAAGATGCTAACATGAATCTTACACATTGTTTTCTTGCATGCAAGCATGGTCTGTGACAACACAACTGCTGTCTGGCTAAAGGCAACCGTAAGATGTCACAGATTGTAAGATGCATCCCAATTTCAGAAATATTACAATAAAAAATCATGTGTCACAGAATTTATTCCATTTTTAGTTCTATTCTGTTCATTTCTGTGTCTGTACTAATAGTATATGCGTTTTCAAGGTATAGTTGGTAGCATATAATTATTTTTAGTGTCTCAGAAGACGGGCGTACTTGGGGATTATTACAATATTGTTTTTCCTTAAAGTGAAACTTATATCGTGTGCTAATAATGCTATTGTTTTAATGTAATTAATCACTATAATTTATGATTAATTTAATGTCTTTAAGACATAACATATACAGCTTTAATTCATGTTTGCACCCAACAAACATTTATTGTTCTCATATTACCAGGTACATGTGTGTCTGAGGAGATTATTAACTCTCATACTGAATAAGAATTCCTCTAACTTGAAAACTCAAAGATCAAGATTTCTGTGATATCTATGTGTAGATAGCAAGGCTATGGTAATGGAATTGGTAAAAGTTTGTTTTGTTTGAGAAACATAAGGCAGAAAGCGAAATTTACTTCTTTGAGAGGATACACTTGCCATCTCTTCTGTTTGTTAGAAAATGGGTTTTTACTGTGCTTATTCATAACCAGTACCTGCTTCTTGGACATTTGGCTGACAAGAAAAAGTAGGCTAGCATTCAGCAGGAACTTGCTAATACAAGAAACTGTTACACATGATGAAGTAATGCATACAGAGCATGGCACCTGGCAGATGTGTTTCCATCTGTTGCTCAGACTTTTATCTTATTTTCCCTCCAACCAATTATATGGTTCTTTCCATGCTTGACAAATAGTAGGCAATCAATGAATAAGTTCCCTCTATTTCCTGCCCTTGCTCCCAAGTTAAAACAGGGAATATACTTGAGCTGAAATGATTTTCTCTTCTTTACAGCTTGCTTACAGTTTTGAAGAAAGTAGATGGAGTGGACTGAATCTTATGTGACCCATACCAAATTAATATGTTGAAATCATAACACTCAAAGTGATGATTTTAGGAAGTGGGGCCTTTTGGGGGGATGTACGTCATGAAATGCAAAGCCTTCACTTATGGTGTTAGTGCCCTTATTCAAGAGGCCGCAGAGAGTGCATCTTCCCCTCTGCCAAGAGAAGTCACAGCTAGAGAGAGCCATCTATGAACAGAAAACTCACCGTCACCAGACACCAGAGACAGTGTGTACTCCAAGTCACTCACAATTTCAGATTCACATACGTATTGAATACCCTATGGAAACAAAGTCCATCATACTACGTTTGGACTAGGGTGCCTTCTGGAGGAAGGCATCTCCAGGATCCCGGGAGACCTTCTCGGGGTAAGCAGATGTGAAATTTCTACAGGAATTCTGTGAGATTCACCAGAGCCTGTATGTGACACCTGTGACCTCTGCTTTGCTGGGGACCATACGGCTACCCTAGCTGTTCTGTATTCCCCACAGGATTCAGGCAGATGCCCAGTGGTCACTCTGACCATCGTAGGCCTGTTCTAGTTGTTACTGTGGAAAGTGGAAAGGACCTCAGGATATCTGAAAATTGACTGTATATTCTTCCAATTGTTCTCATATACACATCATTTAACACAGGAAAGTAGTACAGTAGAGTGTTCATGATTTGTGTGGGCTTTCCAGCTGGCCAGACAAGTTCCAATTCTGGTTCTGTTACCCAGAGTCGTATGACCTTGATCAATTTACTTAACACTTCAGTTTCATTATTTGTGATATCGGAAAAATGCCTGTCTCATAGGGTTTTTGTGAGGACTGAATGAGATGTAAATATGACATGCCTGGCACAGAGTAAGCGCTAAATATGGAGAGCTATTATTATCATTGACAAACATTGCATTTAAGACTTTTAAGTCAACATCATTAGCTCATCTGTCTTACTGACACTTAATCAAGACTTTCTAAAGTGCGAGCTCGTATTAATTTCCCGGTAACTCAGTTGTCTACTTGAGTTCATTTTCTTTCACCAAACTGAAACTAACTCCTGTGGCATGATTGATTTTGCCAGAGTGATTCTGCATATCCTAAACAGGATCTTTCCATCTGCTGCTCAACCCCATCTGTTCTTGCCTCCAGCTGATCCAATTTCATATCCAGTTGGTAGAGGGCCACCTGAAAAAAATCTGCATTATGTTCCGATGTCCTGAAGAAATCTTGAGAAAAATTCAGCAAAAGAGTTCAGTCACTTGGACACACTAAAGGCTCAATAAATTATTTTAGGGGAAATGGGGAACTTGCCATATGGCGCTATTTTTTCGTGGTGAAATTAGGTCAGATCAAAGTCATATTAGAAAAAACAAGGAAAACTGGTGCCTAGCAGCATGCTATGTGTAGCACAGACTCTTTGTATTCATGAAATAATTAATATAGTACTATTATTATGTAGGAGGATTGCAAGTCCTTTGAAGGTGATAAATATTCCAAAGATGTTTCACTTCATTTTTAAGGTATTATTATTATTTTAATATTAAAAGTATGATATTTTAGATGATTAGAGAAACTAGGACATTTAAGACTTTAATTACTGTTTTACAAACTATGCTCTGGACTGCATTCACTTGGGCTGGAGCATCAGTGAACTTTATGAGGAAAGACATACTTCTCTGCGTGATGTAGCATGGTATAACAGCAATAGCACTGAGCATCACCCCAAAACAATTTGCTGTTCCTTGTTAGATGCCAGATGTTGTGAGATGAGATGCACTTTGCCTTTATTATCTTCATGTATTTTATCAAATTAAGATACCACTTATTGTATGATGTTCCATCATTTTATGTGGTACTTCCAAAAAAGATGTACCGCTGACTTTAAGAATCATCCCAATTAAAATGTGAAATGCACCTTTGTCATAGAATGGAAGAATGCAATAATTTATGATTCCTTACAACATCTCTATGAGGCTCATTTTACAAATGAATAAATTGAAGCTCAGCAATATTAAATGAAATGCTCAAGCCTCTTCCAGCTAGAAAACAAGGCAATCTGGACTTGGATCCAATTTTGCCTGCTCCCTACAATCTGTATTAACCTTGGGCTTCAATGCCCTGGTTCTGTAGTGACCGTAGTTCCATAGATGGTAAGTACCAGTGAGCAAAACTCTAGAATGAAATTGTACATCTAGTGCTGTGCCTGGAAGCACATCTTATATCCGAATTAGGTATACTACACTCACTCATTTCTTCCTCCTTTTTTCTAGTTTCTTTCTTTACTCATTGATGATCTACATAGAAAATCATGTTTTGAACGAATTCCTTTTCTCTCTTCTGTACCCTAAAGCATCTCCTGTTTTGAAAGTAGTGTAGCTCACATTAGAAATCACAAGAACAGGAAGAATGGCTTTCTTTAAGGAAAACTTAAAGGTTAAAGGTTTCTCTCATCTCCTACTTGTAGAATTTCTAATACTATAAACATAATAGAAATACGATTTATCTTTGATTAAATCAATGATGAGTTTAATGCAAGAAGTCATTGGATTACTTGCTTTGGCCTGGAAAACAACTGGTCAGAAACCTCCCCAGCATGGTACCCCCTCATACTTTCTAATTTATCTCCTTCCCACCTTTTTGGGCTCTATGAGAGTATAGCCAGCATCACAGGAGCTATCTATTTCTTCTTCCTGTGACTCTAAGATCCCCAAACTCAAAACCCAAAGATTGGCAAAAAAAGATCCTCAAGGTAAGTAACATATTGCAATATCATTAAAAAAAAACCTCTTTCCTCCACCAAATACACAGAGAGTACCCCTTGGAAAGTTTTACAACCTAATTTGTTTAGTAGATCTTGTGGCCCATATTTAAAGCAAAATATTCATTTACTCAACAAATTGTTTTGAGTACTTTTTATGTGCTATGCTAAGCACTTTACATTTACCATGTACAATTTACACAACCACTTGGGTAAGTTTGGTTCCCAGGGATTAACAGGATTCCAGGGCCATGAAGCCACAGAGTGCTTGACACCATGCAGAGAGAAGTCAAGTTGACTCAGGGCCCTTTCTCCATCTGCTTGGGGCAAACAGGGGAAACTTTGGTATAGGATATTTTTCATCAACAGTAAGTCATTAATGAAGTTATTACTAGCAGGGATTTCAGCCCTCAAAATGTATTCAGCTTTTACATAAAGGGTATATCCACTTAATGATATTCTTTCTTATTTCATGATGAGACCATAATGATGGTTAAAAGAACCAACTGAATTCATTAAATTTTACTGTAATGGAAAATTCTGTCCACTTTTGTCCTTTGACTATTAGAAATTCATTTTTCACACATATTTTTTCACTTCCAAAAAATTCCAAGCCCTTTTTATTTATCCCAGAGTTCTCTATTTGTTGAAGTCAGTGAACTGAGTTTGAAGTGTCATTGATATCTCTGATAAAGTATTAGAAAAAACCTGGGGTATAAAGGCCAAATGGCTGTTTTAGAGTCTCTATTAAATTTGAATTTGATAAGTCCATGGATCATATATATGGCATGTGCTATGGCTTTTTACTTTCCATTCTCTGGCCAGTATCAAACTGTAAATTGAAAGAAAATTCTTGGTCACCATCAAATTGATTGATTGAGACGTAAGGCAATTTTTAAGCCAAACTAATGTCAAATAGGACATAGAATTCTGGGATAGTTCCAATTATAGAATCAGAAATATGGATTCTTAATTCTAAATAAATTACAC